CGAAGGGCTAACGCTCGAAACGTCAGCTTTTGTAATCGTTACGGTGGCCAATTTACTATTTCAACTTTGTTGATATATCCAAATTAATTAACATTAGTTCGGTTTTTTTTTTTTTTTTTTTTTTTTTTTTTCATTAACAGAAAGAAAGTAAATATCCACATAGGCGGTGATGAGGAACTAAATAACCATATAACTAAATAGCCATTTTCAGTCTAAATAATAGCTAAGTTATTTTGTGCTCTTACATCCTGGAGTAAAAGAACATTGCAATGTAACCAGGCAATTACGCCAAACTTTTAGCTAAAATTGCGTCATTTCAACGTGGAGGTTGCATCTAAGACTACACAGCAGTCATCGTTGAAGAGCGAGTTACACCTCGCAAAGCCACACGTCGTGTAGCAAGAACAGGGAACTTAAGCAGTCAGGACGGCAACGCCACGGAAGACGTCGATTAAAAAATGAGTTTGTTCATTTAGTTAGAATTTCGAAAATGGCTGCATGTGTTTACCGTCTCATAGGTTGCCAGACCTCAAACTCAACATAACGCATAAAAGTAGCGTTGAGTTCCAAAGGTAAATTAATATAATTTGCCGCCGCGGTTTCGGTTCGCAAACGACGCAAATTTCGGGGATTTCACGTTGTTGTTGTGCAAAGGACAGCTAAGAAATGTACAAAGCTTTAAAACGCACGTGCTGGGCTATTCAGTTCTGCAAATTAGATCTATTGTTTTTAATTCCACGTTCTCGTTGCCGTCGCCGTCGTGGTTTGCCTAAGGTGGCTCGTACCAGTTTCCTCGCGCGGGGAACAGATCACTCTTGCGTCACGCGCGAGAGAAACGTGCGAAAGAAGCCCGAGATTAAAAGACGAAAATTTAAAACAAAGATGGCGGCGCGAGGATTTTTTTCTGCTTATGTGAGAAGTTTACCTAAGAGCTTGTATTTGATGTGTTGAGCGGCCACTGTAAATGCAGGAGATAGAAACTAAGATAAGTAAAGGTAGCTTCACTTCACATTTAAAAGAAATATTCAACCGATATGAAATCTTGCGACGGCGAAAAAAGAAGAACTCAAGTGAAGGATAATCTACCTGAAGTGGAAGAAGACTTTGAAACTTCAAGGAAAATAATATGATATAGCCAGAAGTCATGTGTAGGATTTTTAAGATGAGCTCGGGAGGCTGTCTTTGACGGCTGTTTAATGAGTTTCTTAGCAGTAAACGTCTGTGAACATCAGATCGTAGATGCGCACGCGAGCACACGCAATTGTCAGCGGTAGCTAAAACAGATCATGAGCAAATGTCGATCTTATAGAATCCAGATTTTTAAATGCGCGAGAACGCGCGTGGAAATTGCTAAACTCACGAAAGCTATTGCATGAAAACAAGTCCGGTGACCCCTTCTTTTTATTATTACAATATGATAACAAAGTCGAAAGGAATCATCAGAAAAAAAACTAGAAAATTCTACGGAAGGAAATTTGCGATGTGTGAAAATTTCCCTTTTTGTAGATTTTCTGAAATTCCGCTCCGTAGAATTTTTTAAAAATCTTTGTGCATTTTCCTTTTCAAGTGCCAAAAGCAATCACTGAAAAAAAAAAAAAAGGGGATCACCCGGTTAGTTTTCGAATTATTTAAGCCACAAGCTAAAAAATGCGTCTGAATAAGCCTATGAAAGCGTTGCCATGGAAACTGCTAGTGACGAAATGACACTTATTTTTGGATAACCAATGATTATGTAATTCAACCCCGTAAAAGTGTTCAACTGGCCTTGGTCAGTCTTTCTGTTGTATTCTTTCAAAGTTACAAACCATCAAAAAGATGAAAACCGGTACGAGCCACCTTAAATTCCCTAGTATTTCACGAACACGTCTTCCTCGGTGCATTGGACTCTAACGAGCACCTCGAAGTTAAGAAGTTGTCTTGTCGTGAGTGAAATATGGAATTTAATTCAATGCTTATCTGGGGGAAAAAACAAACACAACACTCGATTGTGTTTACTCTTTTTGATCCTTTAAAGACGTCAGAATGTTCAAAATTATGCGAAACGCCGGGTGTCATTTCTGCGAAGGGAACAAATCATTTCCCTCAAAATAATCGACATCTCGCCTTCGAAGGAGCTATATCACGGTTGCGGATTTTCACGTAATACAACCTTGTATTTCCAAAGAGTGTCATTTCAATCCGTTCTAATTCCTCCTCGTTCCTCTTTTTCAAAACGGCCAATTTGACGTCGCACGAGGTGAAAACAACAGATAGCGACATGGCTGCTTCAGAAGTGAATTGTAATGAAAACTACGGAATAATCATAGAACCGAGTGTTCAGGTATTATATAGTTCCAAACGTCATTTTCAAAGTAAACTTAACAGAGGCGGGAAAAAGTAAACTAAAATAGGTTAACAAACCACACTGACTGTCGATCAATGATAGTTTTCAAGGGCGTATCAGCGAAATTATAATTTTTTTTTTTTGCATGTGGGCTCCCATCATCTGCTGCTGTCAGTCAGTAGACATTTGGCAAAGGTTGTCAACTGAATCTTATTGAAAAATATGCTGAGCAAAATAGCTTTAGGGCCACTTAGATGATCAGACGCAGACTTGAAAAAAAAAACAAAACAAAACAAAACTCCCGTCCCTGGCAACATTTAAGTCCAAGAGAGGTTATGAAAAATAAGAGTGAAAAATTTTTCACCCTGTCGCTTATGCTAGTCTTGAAATCCTTTCAAAATCCTTAATGAATTTTTAACACAACATGGAATATAAGAAAAAGGAGTCGCTCTGTATTTTGAAAACGGGCTCGCTCTGTATTTTGAAAACGGGCTGATGTCAAACTGGTTATATATAGTGGATTACCATAATTGCTTACTTTTTTCTAAGGGAAGGTTCTTATCCATTTATCGCATTACATAAATTTACTAAACAAACACAGCAAATAATGTTGACGCATGATAAGTAACGCACTCTGAGCTTCTTTGTCTCGGACTGCTTTATCCACGAATAATGGAAAATTTGCGCTATTAAATAGAAAGATGAGATTTCCGTGGGGTGTTTTTGCAAGTACTACTTTCCGGCTTCTTTGAGTTATTGTCCGAAGAAGCTTCCTTTCTTTCACCGACTTCTCTACATGTTCCTGTATCTAAGACTAAAACGGTCGGAATTCCGTGTAATTCACAAAAAAAAAAGCTCGAGGGCAAAATATGGACTGAAAAAAACTATTCTTATAAAAATAACTAACTTTAACCATAATCATGATTCTGTTTACATTGAGCAACAACCTTTCGTTGTTTCAGTCGATGCTTTGATACGCAGTCAGAAATTGCAAATACTTCAGAAAAACTCTGGCCAATTGTGAGCGTTCCTTGTGCCGCTATCTATTATTGTATTTCGAGTTTTGCAACTAGCTTAAAGTGATCATAAAAATCTAATATACACCAGTCTTGATTTAAAATGGAAAATGTGGGAGGCATATCTACATGCATTTAACAAGAGAGGAAGTCGTTAGGTGACGTACAATGAAAACACGACTTTAAAGATAAATAAACCCACTCGAACCAGCAGGTGGAACCAACGAATAAGACCTGAATCCAGTTTATTGAATCCTACTGTCTTTATAAGATCATTTTCAGGAAGTATTAAAAAAATCGTTCGTCCATATGCTTTGCTCGTTAAAATGGGCGGGCATACTTAGCTTGGAGTTATGCGAAGGACATTATTGTTTAACAGGTAGATATAATCGCTATTTTCTCCTATGAAATCATCAAAAAGCTCGAGCTCGAAGCTATTCAAGATTATTTGATCATATAACTTACAAAAATACGATTTTGATGATAATGACCAATTTCTGATATTGAACCACATATATTTAACTGAAGTGCACTTTCCAATTATTTCAAAGCCATTCTTTTGACTTTTAAGAGAACAAAATGGACGCCACTTTGGCTGAGCACTTAGGCTTTTTGGTGTCGGCCCAAACGTATCTGTATATATATATATATATGTTTCTCACGGGGTAGAACCATGCAAACTTTTAAATCTGACTCCTTGCTCGTCAGAAACATCTTGAAGTCTTACCGATTACTCTTAAATTCTATGACTTTTATTTTTCTCTTATTAGTATGGAAAATTCTGGTAATCATCACTATTATGTGTGCTAAATTTATAAAGGGTTTTGCGTCAAAGCCTCTAATTCTCCAAAATTTCATCTTGATTTTCAAATACACATGAATTTTATCTATTGAATGGCAAGCATTTACAGAATCCATCACGGCTGATTTAATTTCTTTTCTTTGCAGTCTGAAGATAATTTTAAATTCAATTCAAAGCACGTTTAATCATACACTGAGCACTTCTGTTCTATTTAGATCGAACAGAAGGAAATATTCGAGTTCAAAATGGAAAGAAATTCTACGTGGGAAAACACCACTCTTGGCCTCCCTGTGACAAATGTATCGAGTGAAGGTAAGGTGGTTTCTTCGGGTAGGATGGCTATCGCTTTAATTCTACGCTTGTTGTCTCTTTTTGTACTCCACGTCTCACTTTTGGGTGCAAATCACGGACCTTGATCACACTTAGAATTTTGAAAATGATTCTGCCACATTTTCAGCTGTCAAGGCGTCTCAGAAATATATACAAATTTTAAGAGGATATCGACTTTGAAAGCATGTGATATCATCGCTTATTCCCCCTAAGATGGCTTCCACCCGATTACATAACCGGCGTAGTAGGCATTTAATGTCGAAAACGTGGGAAGTGCTTGCGCAATCTTCCGAGCCAGAGGCTCAGGGTGGACATGAACACGCGGGCGTGAGGGATTCGGGTTAACACGTGCGAGTGGAAGTTATTTAAACGAGGCTACAGACCTCTCTCAACGCGAAGGAACGCAAAGAAGACTACCAATAAAAGTTATTTGTTCCTTTGCAAGATTACTGCCGTCTGGCGGCTACTCATGCTATTAAAACATTTGTGAGTTTTGTGATGTATTCTGGATTAACAAAAAAGAGATAAAATGATAGGGATTTTCATTGCAGATAATGAGCACGAGGACAAACATCAGCGATCTTTCCGTCCAGTGGTAGATATTCCTCCGGTGGTCCTTGCGGTGTTTATTATAACCATCAACACCATGGTACTAGTTTTGATGGCAAAGAAAAACTATCTCCGATCGATCACAAATCTACTGCTATGTAGCCTGGCTGTGTCTGACTTGATTACAGGCCTGGTTGCTGTGCCGATGTTTCTCATGTGCAACCTTCACATCCAATCAGCCACGTGCATTACGGAGGAAATGGCGGCCCGCTTCATAAGTACTTTGATTGTGTGTCATTTGATGGCCGTAACAACTGACAGGTAAACTGAGCAACGTTACATATACATATCATATTCAATTTTTATGCTATAGAATACGTTATAACTTAGAAACAGTCAACGACTGAACCCGTGGAAAAAAAAATTATCAGTTCCCTCGATGGAGGGGCCACGATGTGAAAGCAAATCGAACAGTAATTGCACACATGAGGGAAAAATAATGCAATGCTAAGAATGTCACGCTACCTTACAAAAGCTCTGTTCACCTACAACGGCATTCTTCAGTAAAAATTCGAGCATGACAATTAGAGCACTTTTACCCTCTGACGTCGTAGATTTTGCAGTTTTGCCCGCTCAGAGACTTCTGGTGGGAAACAATTTAATTGTTGGATGTCTTGTGACCCAACAGTAACCAATAAGAGGGTGCGCTTAAGAAACAAGAAATGTTCTTTAAGTCACTTTCTAATTCTCGAAATACGTAGAAGCCCTTTATGATAGACTGATTCTAAGTCACATTTTTAAGACGATCAACTAGTTCTATCTATAAATCACAGATACCTGGCCATCATTCATCCTCTACGGTATTCCACGCTGGTCACCAAGCCCAGGTGTGTTATGGTTATTCTCTTTATATGGCTGTTGTCAGCGGTTACTTCATTGCTACAGTTTACTTGGTACGACCCAGTCCATCACGACCCTTACGAGGAGGAGTCAGATCAGATCAGGAAGAAAGAACTGATCTACGACATTGCCTTTCTTACATTGTACTTCTTCTTTCCTGTCGTTGCCATGCTTTTCTCTTATGTCAGAATCATCTTTGAGATCATCCGTCAAAGCCGAAATATTCAACAGCACAGTACGCCAGGCGTAAATGCCGGAAGAAACAGAAACCGCCACGAATGGAAAGCCATTGCAATCTTCGCTGCCATGACACTTCTTTATGTAATTTGCTGGTTACCTTACTTTGGTCTTCGAAGGCTCAACTTATCCGAGCTGCCATTGCTGTTAATCTACTGCATCCTCTGGCTGAGATACCTGGCGTCGTTTTTAAACCCTTGTATGTACATATTTGGCAAACAGGATTTCCGAAGAGCTGCATTTGAACATTTTCGTCATCTGTGTAACATCAAACTGGACCTGAATTTTATTTCCACTTCTAAGTCCAACATTTTGAAGGCAACCTTGGCAACATCCGGTGGTAAAAGTGAAAAAATCAACATGAAGTCCTTCGCTAAAGTAAGCACCAAGAATTGAAGAATAACTCCAGGATCTAACAAAGCAGTAGCTTCGAAGTACTTCTTTCAAATGCTTCAGCGTTTAATGCTCAGCTTAACACCGTCCGGTGGTTTGTTCAAACTATGCTAAATTTTTAGTAATGAGAGTTAGTGTCTCACTGTAGGCAGAAAATTCAAAGTAGTTTCGAGAGGGTACAATTCTCAAGGTCACCCTTGAATCAAATGTTAAGATCAAGAGAATGATGGGAATGATCTCCGACTTAATGGAATTACGGAAGCTCCTGCTCGTCAAACAAATTCTCCTTGTCATTGCCACAGGAAATGTATAGAGATTAATGTGGAGAATATG